GGTTGTTTTTTTTTTTTTTTTTTTTTTTTTTTTTTTTTTTTCCTACCCAGCCATAAGTGAGATCGATCCTATTAAATTAAGATCTATTGTCTCATTTTTTTTTATCTTTTTAGTTGTCCCTACTAATTAAATTTTGATACCTTATGAATTGCTTTAAGTATTTTTTATATTCAATTCATATTCGCGTGATTAAATTATTAAATTTAGAGGATATGGTAATTTAGTAATGAAGGTACAATCAATAAAGTAAGAAAATAGAGATCATAGATCTGGACTTTAGTGTTCGTAGTCCTCAACTTAGCGGTTACCTCCGTTTATTTCGCTAATTCGAGTTTAAAATTCGAGTTTTACTACAATAAAAAGCTCTCACAAACAATCACATCTAATTTTTTTGCTACAATAAAAAACTCACATAAAATCACATCTCAACTCAAATTAAAAACTCGAATCATCGAACTAAACGGCCCTTAACATTTCTACTCAAACTACAAGTGAAATAGCGAAGAACCTTACTCATGCTTCGTAAACTCGCACGTAACGAGTCAAAAATAACATTAGCCCAAGTCGTAGTTGAGAAGCTGATAAGAGACATAATTAAACCTCACTACACATTAGAGTCATATTCTGTCATCTTTCATCACTACGCCAACCATCAAAGATGGTAGGGAAGAAAATGGGCGTTCTTATATTGAATTAAATGAATAAGTATTGCGGGGAATATTCGATGTGTCATTCTTCTAGAAGTTCTAAAGTTTAAAATTGCAATTTAAATGGTGAAATAAAGGACACGTGATTTGAGATATTCGTAAAAATGACAGCTAAATTCTACTAGTTATCCTTACAAAATTTAAAAACATCCTCCCTAATTTTTAGGAAGATGATTCTATTTAAGCAAAGTCTTAAGTCCGGCCGTCGTCCCGTTTGTTGGACGTAACCTTTATTTTTTTTTTTTTGTTACTGTTTTTGTAATTTTTTTGCTAGTGTTTCAAGCAAAACTCGAGTGTATATAGAAGTGTGTGAATAAAATGTAATATTGGGTGCACAATATATTTAAAGTGGTAGAATGAAATTGTTAGGGGGCAAGTTCGGGATGAACATGGATGTTAATCAATTTAATGTTTTTTAAATGAAGTGGTGAATGTATTTAGAAGAGGTTTGATGAGTAAAAAAACAAAAAAAAAGTGTCAATAGAACCACTCTAACCGTTTTTTTTTTTAAGAGAAAAATGACTACAACAACCAATGATAGAGCCATGAATTGATTTTTGGTTTACCATTTTCTGTTCGAATAAAGATATATTTAAAAGTAAAAACTTAGGGTAAATAATTGAATATAAAAAAAAAAAATTGTGTATTAGTGACAATCGAAAAATTTGAGGGGGCAAACAAAGAGGATAATGCTAGACATTTTTTTCTTGGTATTTGCTATTTGGCTTTTGTTATTTGTTGCTCCCCTTCTCATTATTTAAAGTCTTTTTGTTTTCTAGTACTAGACTGTTTTACTCCTTATTTATTAAGCTTAACTGCAGCACACGAGATAGGCAGAGATGGGATATAGAAGTTTAAAATCCAACTCGAGTCTTATTGCTTCTTCTTTTTCGCCACTTTTGATTCCAAGGTCTACATAGTCGTTACCATGTGTGGAGAAAGAATGCGATATTTCTTCTAGGCCGATTTGCCATTTGTTGGTATGAACCCGAAGATGAGCTCAGTTTTAAGATTGCAGCATCATTTGGCCGACGTGTTTTACAGAAAACCATTGCGCTCTACAGTTGTGGCAATAAATCCTTCGTAACTTAAATGAATTATGGAAAAACTACAGTCAACCTGCGATGAAACTACGGTAAACATTTGATCCTTCTGGCATTGCAATCCTCCAAGTGAGCGTGTTTTCAGGCGTGCCATTTTGATGCGGAAAAATGGGAATGCAGGAACCACCAGGTGACGGAGTTATAAAACCAGAACCTGCTGGCTTAGCTGGAATGGCAACGAAAGCAGCAACAGCGGCCAAGGAGGAGAAGAAACCTGAAAAGACTATCTTTGAATTGAATACGGAACTATACGAGGTAATAATGTTAGGACACATCAGTTGGTATACAAAAGTTGAGATTTGAGTTAGTGTCCCTAACATTATTGCCTCGTATAGCTCCGTATTCAATTTAAAGACGGTATTCAATAATACTAGGGACGCATCAGACAGTAAAAATGCCAAAAGCCTCCACGCTTAGCTTTTAAAGGAAGCTTCGTGTAATTGCTAGAAAACTCTTTTGAACTTGTTAACTGGGTTGGTTCATGATAGAAAGATTTCCTTTTGACACATGATTCGATGTTAACCGGTTCAGTTCATGATTGAAGGATTTGATTGTAAACAAGAAATATAATTTTTTATTATCATTTACCAGAGAAATGGTGTGCCTCCCAATTTTTTTTATTAACATGGGCAGACTCAAAGTAGTTTCATCCAAAGAGAAGAACCAGATCCTTTCTTCCCGTCGATCCTGATGCTTAGCAGTCTCCATTGTTGACAAATAGCAACAAGTAGTCAATTGTTTGATGCTGAAGAAGCTGGATCTTGTAAGTTAACAATGATTATCTATTCACAAGAAGAAACAACTTGGTACTTACAATTTAGAAGAGAGGCTCTACATACAAGATAAGATCTCCATATCTGGGGCAAAAAAAAGGAAAAAAAAAAAAAAAGAAGCATTCCCAGCAAAAGAAATAAATGTGAAATTGTATCCACATCTACAACATAGTAGTTATCGAAACATAATCATTGCGGAAACCTATGTAAGAGTTAGATAAGGACAATGGTCTGCTAAAATGCATACAACTTTCGGAATTTACTAAAATGAGTAGCTTGTAATATAACTCGAGCAACTAACGAGATGGGTGCTTTGAATGCAAGTGTTTTGATTCCAGGCCATGAAGCTGTGTGGATCCCATATTAGACTGATCCTGGATCGAGTTCGAAAACATTGTAAAGAATCATCACACGAAAGGAAAAAAAAAAAAAAAGAAAGGAGAATCCCAAGTGAAGATTTGCATACCATGTCTTGCAAACTGTCCTGGACAGCCGAAGCAGTTTGTGGTCTGAGATGTAACTGCCCCTACAAGCATGCAACAGTACAAGTTATTTTCACCATGTCAAACAAAGCAAAATGATTCTCATAAAAAAAATAAAAATAAAAATAAAAATAAAAACAAAAACAAAAACACAACTGCGAGAATACTAGCACATTCCATACCATGGCATGCATTCTTTGTTGGGTTACGTAATGTGCCTCGTGGATAGGTGCAAGCGAGTTCAATTGTCCCTGCAACAAAAGTAGAAGTCTCAGTTAAGATGACACCACATCAAATATAAATTATATCATCATAGCCAGCCAAATTGCATTACCAGTCCTTGCACACCATGTTGATTGCTATAATAATCATCACGGTTTGGAGCGATCTGGTTTATTTGGCTCTGCGACAGAATCCAAAGGTCAAGCTAATGGGGGGCAGAAAACAAAATTGACAATTTATTTGCCAGAAATCCAATACATGGATATATTGGGAACTGGAAAGAACATCCTTACCATTCCCTGAGCAACTTCTTGGCTGCCAAAATAGCCATCAACAGTTGGATTTCTCGAGTTCATTTGTTCCTACCAAAAAGAAAAAAACAGCACACACACACAAAGCAAAGATTTAGGAATATTCATCCATATAACCTCCATGGAACTTGTTAAGATAAACAGCAAAATTTTCCAGTTCAATTAGTTATGTTTTCTGCTAAACTATACATATCAATATCATGCTACTTGTGATTCATAAGAACACAAAGGGCAGGTGCTCGTAAATTTGTGACCCCTTCAGCAAGTACATAATCCATACGAGTCATTACTTCATATTATAATTTGAGTCTGCATTTTAAAACAAAGGTTTTTAAGTGAAGACAAGATAACTACCATATGCTGCCAGCTTTCTTGAATCCGAATAGCCATATCCACTGGCTCTGAATGCACCTAATAGAACAACATATGCCTAAATAATAAATAACCGCTAAAACAGTTTCCAACAAACCAAGCATATAGGCATAACAAGCAACAAATGCTCAACTGACCTGTCCTTTCTTAGATGCACCATTCTTTTTATTTTCCATGCCAGTCCGGCTACTTAGGTTCACTTCTTCAAAGCGTTGAGGACCATGACTTGGTGAGCTTGGTTGTGTTTCAGTCTGAATTGAGTTATTAATACTTTCACACTTTCTCAAAGCTCCTTCCAATGCACTGAATGCAACATTGTAACTCTCCTGGGATAAAGACCCTTCATCGCTTAATTTAAAGGCCCGTTGACATATGTCATTGTAGCGTATAACTCTAGACTCAACCACTTCTGAACCTTTTCTTAGTGTTTGTCTACTCTTTGCATCTTTTGTCCAACGTTTCAATATGCATTGAGATGGGATGCTATGTACACCAGACATTTGAAGAACAATCATGACGTGTCTACAGACAAAACCGTTGAATTCAAACGAACGACATAAGCATGAAACATCAGATGTTGATTCATTCCACTCCACAATGAAATTTTGATTCTCTTCAAAGTCTTGAACTCTGAAAGTTTTTATTTCTCCATCTTCAGTTTCTTTCCTTGGATGACAAGCAACTACACCCAAAACTTCGACTTGGAATTTCTTGAAAATTGCATGAGTGTAAATCGCTGCCATTTGTTTCCCAAAAGGTGATGGGGATTTCAATGCTGGCTGTTTATTCCAAGTTTCGAAGTCTGCTTTTACTTCCTCTTCAGCCTTCTCACGTAAAATTCCTTTGTATTGTTCGATAAACTCTTTTAACGTAGTTTTCCTCTGCATGTACTTATCCAAAAAACAGTTTATACTTTCCGATCGCTGTGTCGTAGACAACCCTGCAAGGAATACCTCTTTCATGTATGCTGGTACCCACCGTTCGCGATCTTCATACAAGGATTGAAACCATAGGTCAGTTCTTAAATGAAACCTATCAGCCATTTTCCACCATCTCTTTTCAAACTGTTCGGTTGTCCAAGACTTGAAAATGCATTTGTTAAATTTAGCCATAAATTTTTCATGTTGCCTCATCACGTAGCCGAGCTTCTCGGGAACCTTGTTCATTATATGCCATAAGCAGAAACAGTGTCGAGAATCAGGAAAGACCTCGGCAATTGCTTCTTTCAAGATGCAATCTTGATCAGTAAGTATCACTTTTGGAGCATGTCGGCCCATTGCTCTAAACCATGCCCGCAAAAGCCACACATACGTCGATCTACTCTCATCAGCAACTAATGCACATCCCAGAAGGAGGAACTGACAATGATGGTTCACACCAATAAAAGGAGCAAGTGGCAATTTATATTCATTCCTGATATATGTTATATCAAAAAGCACTACATCACAAAAATTGCAATAGTCAAGCCTACCTTTGGCATCAACCCACATAACATTTCTCAACTGCTGCTCTTTATTCAGATCTATAGCATAAAAGAAGTTTGGATTCTCATCTTGCATATCTATGAAATGGTCAAGCATAACTTGAGCATCTCCTTCATCTAGAGCCAAAATTTGTCCACCTTGTAATTGATTTGATCCACTACCCTTTCGACTTTCGTTTTTCTTATGACCACCAGACTGTCTGGACATTGTAACGTACATCTTTTTGGTTCTTGCCCGGATAGCATGCAAGGCGTCAGTATCACTACTTCCTAATTCTAAATTTCTATGCCCCCGGAAGTAATAGGCTTGATCAGGAAAAATTTCATGATTATGCTCCTTTGTGAAACTACTAATAATCCATCTGCCATCATCCCTTGTCTTAACGTGCAAACACGCTTTGCAATCCGTTTTCTCCCATGATCGATTAACACGGCCCCGCTTTCTTTTTACAGCAAATATAGTTGTGCCATCTGCATTTGAAACACCTTCTGGAGTTTCATCTGCACTAGATTCTCGCTTGGTCCCGTATCTAGTACATGCAAATTTGGCGTCAATAAATTTTCCAGTTACTCTGGATCGACGGCTTGCCTTTATTACACCAGCAAAACCCACAGACTTTGCATATTCTTTATAGAATGAAAAGGCTTCTTCCTTTGATTCAAACTCCATTCCATCATGGGGCTCTAAATTTTTTGATGAATTCAAGTTTATTTCAGCACCAGTTTGTGATTTGCTTCCCTTATCTAATCTTTTCTCGGCAGTTGGTCCCATATTCTCCTTAACATTTCTAGCTGAGTTGAGTAAACTCCCATTAGTTGGATCTCTATAAAGCCCTTCATCTGCACCATCCACCGCAACAGCATTCACATTCTGTCTACTATCTTCCTTATGATATTCTCCTGATGGTTGTTCGAGATCTATACCCATAGAATCTGATTCCTTTGGTTACAAGCTAATTGTTCAGACATGAGCCTGAAAAGGCAAGAAGGAAAATCACATCCATTAAAGTGATCGCAAAACCATCTAGAAATTATTCACATTTAAATCAAACAGAAAGTATGGAAATGCAGAACTTGCACAATAATCTATTCATTACAAGTGATTCTCACTGTGAATCCCAAATACGCATAGAAACTCCATATTATCATCAAATCCAAATCCAAACTACCGTTAAATGTATTAGACTTTAAAACTACAGTGAAAAAGTGGCTCGATAAACATCATCAATGACGCCAAGCACCAATTTCTTTCAGCGAAATGCGATTGTTCTTTAATAAAGGTATATACAAAATCACACTGTGATACGAAATACTTGAGGTGCTTAGCACCAATGCGAATGTTCAGCAATTGTCCCAAGTAAATCTCTTTCTTCATGAAATGAAGCATAAAACCCAAAAGAGTAATTCTAAGATATTACTGACTTTGCATAACAACCATCGGTGGAAAACAGAAAAGGACTACTAAAAAAAAAAAAAGCAATAAAAATAACCAGTACATACTACATTGACATCACAAAGGAAATTCTTTATTTCTTTATTTCCTTTTTTCTTTAATAATCTAACTCAAACTAACATATATGTAGAAAATAACCAGTACATTTGACATTACAAAGGAAATTCTTTTATTTATTTATTTTTTCTTGTCGTACTAAGTCAAAGGTTAGATTTGTAGCAATTGCAAATGGAAAACAGAAAACTGTTTAGATGTATAGCAATTGTCATGTTACAGCAAGCATATGATTACTTAATACTTATAGTAGCCTCAACCATAACACGGGAAAGAGAAAAGTAGAGTGTTTTTCTTTCCTATTTAATCATATGATTACTTAATACTTATAGGCATAGTTTAGCAATAATGACACTTGACTCCACCGTGTAGAGTTTGAATTCTCCTGCAGTCCCGCTCCCAAATTCCAAAAACAAAAAATAAAAAAGGAAAGAAATCGCGCGTTTACTAGCAAAATCACGAATGGCAGTTCGATGTGCTCCACACAATATAAGAAATGTAGACAAATACCACTTAAAAATGCATGAGTCAAGATATATAGGGCATGTTCTTTTGTCCAAAAAACTCAAAAAAAGACAACTCGAGTTCTAACTTTATTCAAGTTCACGTTCTTTTAAGTTTTAACTTTATTCAATTTTACTCAACTCTATTCAAGTTACAACTTCAACTCAAGTTATAACTAAAATTCAACTCAAAAACTACACTAAAGTTACACTCCAAAAAAACAACCCCATAGTTTATACACCTTACTCTTGATTAATAATCTTTTTAGTTAACTAACTATACTAGCAAAAGGGTATTAAGCAATCCTTTTAGTTAAGTAACCATACTAACAAAAAGGTGTTAAGCAAGAATGAGTGTTAAAAATTTAGACACACGTAATTTTAAGAGTAAATTATGCAATTTTCTCATGTAAGAAAAGGAATGCAAATCCAGCACTTCTCTTTATATTGCTTTCCTGGTTAATGGGAATAAATACAAAATTTACTTATGTACCCTGATAAGTTCACATATTTTTTAATTTCGTAGAACGACATATTAATTATTACATTCATAAAAATTCTTATTTCGAAGTCCAAACAACGAATCAGATTATTTCTCACTCCACATTTTAATAGATAACTAAACATTATCAAAGAACAATGACCCTTCTTCTTATTCTTTTACTTCTCTTACCAAACATTTTATCTTTCCCATTACATCCCTAAACAGGTCCTTAAAGCAGAAAACGCATGTGAAGTACAAAAGCAATGAAAATTTCAACAACAAAATATTAGGGGTGAATAAAATGGGATCAAGCAGAAATTGAAATTCACTAGAAAAAAAAAACTTGAAATTCTTAAACTATGGCAACAAATTCAGCAAATATATATATATATATACATATACATATACATATATATATATATATATATATAGCAACAAACAGCGAAAGGGGAACATTATTCAAGAAAATTCTTTTTCAATTATTGAAAAAGTTAAATGCGATTAATTAAAAAAACAGAGCTAAGGAAACAACAGGGACAGAAATTCCCAGCCATTAAACAACTGAATGCGTTGTTGTTGTTGTTGTTTTTTTTTTTTTAAGGAAAAAAATTAAGTAAAGACAGAAACTTACTTGAACTGAATGAATCAGCGAAGCAAGTTGAGGCGCGAGTAGGAGAAGCTGTGGAGTTAGAACTGGAAGGTTAGGGCAATACACGCGAATGCGCTACTCGCACTTTTTCTATTGCCATACTCGCTTCCACCTCAGGACTTCGGCCTACGGCCCAGCCCACTTCAACATTTTCCTTTCTATCCTTTTACCCAAAAATAAATAAATAAATTTCGATTTTTTGACAAATGACTTTTTTACTTTTAAAAAAGTTACAATTCAATACCATTTAATTTCCCCAAAACGAATAACATTTAATTTATTTTTTTAACAAATTCTCCCCTATACGTAAAAAAGATAAAAGAAAGTACATTAAAATGTCATATTTGCCTTTTTAAAATGATAGGAATTAGGAAATTGTAGAAAATACCTATATTCTCAAAAAGTATTATTGCATTTGCATATGATTTTTTTTCTTCATGTTAAAAGCCCTTAGTTTCACATAAGGACATTGCGTGCGACTTCATATTTATTTGGTTACTTCATAAATAAATAAATAAGTAAATCAAAGAAAATACTCTGTTTTAGCACAATTCAAACTACAGCACTGCAGCTTGTTCTGGGACATCAATTAGACTGATGATTTTTGTCCAATTATTTCTGTTAAAATTTGGTTACCACTCTCGATAAATCATAATAGAAAGGGTATTTTACACATATGCATTCTGAACTTGTATGACATTAACAACTTGTTTTCTTAACTTATAAAATTGTTAGAATATACCTTGACGATAATTGTGTTAGTGTCGAAAAGTACGTTTTAGTCGAAAGTTCTAACATTCTAATTCAATGTGTACAAATCTTTTAATTCCTTAACTTTTAATCTCATGAGCAAATTTAATAAAATGGGGCACATTGCAATAATTATACGAGTTTAAAGAGTTGAGTGTCAAATTAAAAATTTAGGGAGTAATTTGCTAACCACAATAAGTTTGAAAGGCAAGTGTGCTAAAAACTCTAGTGGAAAAGCCAACTTGTTACAAGAAGCCCAAAAAAAAGGTATTAAAAAAAAACATTTCAGTTCTATATACATAACAGAGAGAAAGTGGGATTAATGAGCTCGTATATCTCCTTATTCGTGTTCTCTTTCGTGTCCCCTAATCAGTTAAAATATTTTAACTCATATAACTTTTTAATTAACGTGATATGAAACTTTAATTTAACGTAATATTTTTAATTGACATAGTATGATATTATTGAAGAGACATAGAATAAGATTGGAAAAAGGGGCACAAAAATGGATTCCGAGAAAGGGACAAACCCAAATATTCTCCAACAAAAAGCAAAAAAAAAAAAAAAGAAAAAAAAAGAGAGGGGGAGAAAAATAAGATCAAAAGACTAAATTGACCCTCAATTTTTTTTTGCCCTTGATAATTATTCAATACCAATATAAGCGTTGATGCTCTTTCCGTCTAGAAAATAAGGCATGAAAAGGAGTAAAGAAAAGCGAGCACTTAATTGCATAAGGTAGAGACTACGGCATCGTTCACTTCACAGATTTAAGTTTTTAATTTGAGTTGAAATGTGACATTTTTTGAGAGCTTTTCACTGTAGCAGGAAAAGTTAAATGTGACATTTTCTGATAACTTTTTACTGTAGAAACCTAAAACTGAAAACTCGAATCGAATTGGTAAAATGAACGATGCCTACATATTTTTCAATAAAAAAAAAAGAAATTAACAAGAAATCAGAGAAGTTCAGTATTAAATAAATTGGATATGCCGTCCCGTCCAAATCAAATAAATAGCGGTTACTTCTCTCAATCAACCATAAAAACAGAAATTCCTACTTCTCTTCCCGTATAGCCCAGTTCTTCATAAACCCTTTTCTAAACGTTCTCTCTCAAGAAAGAAAGAAAGAAAGTTCTTCATAAACTCTTTTCTTAACGTTCTCTCTCAAGAAAGAAAGAAAGAAAGAGGCGTAAATCAAGCAAGAAACATAGAAAGAAAAAACAATGTAAAATGAATATCCCTTAAACCTCTTCTCTTTGCTTTGTTATTCTTTTTTATACTTTTTCATGTAATTGTAATAACTTGTTCTTCATTGTGTCTTTCGCAGAGAATCCGACAATGGAGGAGAAAGAAGACGAAAGAATCGATCGGCCTGGAATTAGCAGTAGTAGTGTAGGACGGAACGAGGGCCCTTCCTCGCTTTTGTTCCGCTACCTCCATTCACTTTTTGAAATGCTAGAAGAAGAGCTGATACATCATGAAACCAAGTTAAGGGAATTGCGGACACGTGCAATCCGGCATCTTCTCGACGGAGAATTCGAGCGACTGAAAGATCTTGAACCTGAAGTGAAGAAATTCAACATGTGCATTGAAGGGCACAAGGATAGCGTAGAGAATTTGAGCAAGACTTTGAATGATATGGAACTGGTTTTTGAGAAGTCTGGTGCTCTGTCTTTTGCTGAATTCGAAGAGGGTTACGACGAGAAGATGCGGGAAAAGAATCCGATGAAGATGGAAGAAGCGGAGGAAGGTAGACGGATCGGGAACAAGAATCTCATGGATATGCTGCAACAGCTTAATCAATCTGATGAAGGGAGAAACGCTTTCGTTGCGCTAAGGACCGTGGCAATTAGTATTGGGATCAAACTCTCTTGTCTCCTGGTGGAATACTTCTTGTTGATTTTACAGTCAGAGCCGGATCAAATGGAGGCAAAGATTGAGGAAGTCACGGGTACGATTCAATGGGAGAACTTGGAAGGAAATTCGGTCATCATCGACTTGTTCGTTTCTGTGGTGGAATTTATCGGCAAAGAAATGAGGAATAGTACTACAAAAGGAAGTAGTGCAGCAGATCAGAAGGAAGAGATGATGAAAGAAAATCACGTGTGGTACGGTGAACGAGAAAAAGATCTTCTTGGTATCATTTTCTTTGAAGTCTTGAACTTGGACTTTGCTTTCAGCCGTCCGATCTTTCTAATGAGGTTCCCGCACAAGGAAATATTAGTGAAAATTGGAAAGAATATAAGCAAGTCGTTCAAATTGAAGCTGGAAAGGATAAAGTTGAAGATGTACGAGGTGAAGAAACTGGAATTTGATCAATCTGTCGAAGACGAAGATCCGGAGACGAAAGAACTCAAGGAGAGGCTGGAAATGGAGATTAAAGAAAGATGGTACGAACTGAGCTTCAGCAATGAACTGGTTAATAAGGTTGAAAGTTTACACATAAAATGAAATTAGAAATTGCATTACATGGTCTGTTTCTTCTATCAGATAGAGAGATTTGTAGTTTTTTTTCCCCCCCTTAATATTTGATGAATTAGACTCCAAGCTATAGTAGTTGAGATGTAATTTGAGTACTACAACACATTCTATATGGTTTTGTTAGTTAGCTTCTTAGAATTGTATTTTTCACCTTGGTTCAGTTCTTTGCTGGTTGAATATGTTTGAATGTTCTGTTCAAGAAAAATATGTTTGAATGTAGATTATTCTTATCTTACTTAGAACTTAAGCAACAAACTTTTATGTTACTTTGATCATATTAACAGATTTAGTGTTTTCTTATCTAAGTTCTGAAGTAAAAAAAAAAAAAAAAGTTGCAATCCTAGTTTACATTATAGAGTTGGTCTTAATGATTATGCTTGCTTAACTATGTATTGTTGGCTCTTACAATTTAAGCTTTTCAGAGAATTGCTAAAGTAATAAATTGATTGAGCAGTAAACAATGATCCTCGTTCTTATTTCTTCACTTCTTTTTTGATACATGTTTTATATTTCCCATTACATCCAACATATCCATAAAGCAGAAACATTATCCTTATTTTTTTACATACAACTGTGCGTGAAAAATATACATGCAAGTGCAATAGCAATGCCAATAGAGTCGTAAAATATGTAAATGCAAACCACACACACTTCAACAAGACAAAATAATAACATTAATTCAGCAATAAACATTTGGCCTTGTTCATTTCACAGAATTATCAATTTTAAGTTTTTACAGTTAAAAATTCTAAAAAAAGTGACACATCTAATTTTTTATGTTACAGTTAAAACTTCTTAAAAAATATCATATATTAACTCCAACTAAAAACTCGAATTTATAAAGCGAACGAGACCTTGTGCCAAGACAAAATTTGACTCACATTTTGCTATTGCATACCCCACTTAACGACTTCGGTCCACGGTCTGTAGCGACCCTCCTTTGAGGCCGCCACTGTAACTAACTTTTTAACTTGTACTTACTGAAATTTCTTAAAATTTACGGGACACATTTTTTTTTTTTTTAAAAGGTCTTATTATAAACATAAAATACGAAATTGCTTTCTTAATTAAAATATTCAAACCTTAACATATCTGTTTCATAATCATAATTAACAAAACTATTTGTAACATAAAGCTGATTGCGGAAATATTTGCGAGTGGTATCCATATCCCGAGCTCCACATCGTTCGTCCACTCGCCAGCAGTCCATCAGGCATTATATGCCGGTTGCTTACCTACAGTATAAACATTCTATAATGAGCTTTCGCTCAGCAAGTAGGAACCATCTCTCGTAAAATAACTGTAAGTTCACATGAATAAATATGCATGAGCCAATTATGCTTAATTATGATGTCTTATCAGAATCTTATTATCTTATCTTATCTTTCTTACTGATGGGCCAGAGTGCTCGTACCACTTGCGCGCAATCATCGGAACGTGAGGGTTTGCAAGGTCCCCCATGACACCGTGATTATAACTTGAATGCCTCCCTTGAGTCGGAGGACATCATTATTATTATTTTTTCTCCCTTGTGGAGCTTGAGTTACCTCCCTTGTGGAGGCTGGTACGGCACTCAACTGAGATTACTCTTATAAGTTCCTCTTGACTTATTAAGGTGTATGCAATATGACCTAGCATAGCATACTATATCATGTACTCGAACACATATAATTCGGGTATACTGCCTAAGTGTATGTAGTATAACATAACATAGCATTCATAACATTAAATGTACTCAAACATATATAGTTCATGTGTACTGTTTACTTTAAAATCTATTTATACTGTAGGCGAGATTCCTACTTACTTGATTTTCAAAGCTG